AAAAAAGTCCAAACTCATCCCACTGCATTGTTGCAGCTGCCCAGTGGTCACTGGTCCCCTGGACCCATGGAGCCCCTTCAGCAGAGCACATGAAGATATCTACTTATGTTCTGTGGAGACCTCACTTTGAAGGACTGCTGATGCTGCCTTAGCTGAGTTTTCTAAGATTCTGGATCTATGTGGCACTCAAATAGTTACTGGGTCAAACTGATGGCCAAGGTGCTTTTGTTTCCCTTGCAACTGGAGTAACTCAGGGCTAGGTACCAGGGACAAGCCTGTACCCCACAGCCCTCGGACATCATTCACCCTGGCCAGTCCAGAGCTGTTCAATCTGTATTTTCTTTGCCATGGAAACCCCGGGTCACCTGTCTAGTGAAGTGGAATAACGCTCGTGTACACTATAAAGATTTGTTACTCATATTGGTTTAATAAAATGCTGATTGGCCAGTAGCCAGGCAGGAAGTATAGGTAGAGCTACCAGACTAGGAGAATTCTGGGAAGAGGAAGGCAGAGAGTGAGTCACCAGTCAGATGCAGATGAAGCAAGATGAGAATGCCTTACTGAGAAAAGGTACCAAGCCATATGTCTAAACATAGATAAGAATTATGGGTTAATTTAAGTTGTGAGAGCTTCTTAGTAATATGCCTGAGCAATAGGCCAAACAGTTTATAATTAAGCCTCTGTGTGTTTATTTTGAACTAAATGGCTGTGGGACCAGGCAGAACAGAAACTTCCGTCTAAAGCCTAGCGTATGTGAGGTCCTGGTTTAGAACCCTAGTACACTCCCCAAATAAATAAAATGGACATGTATCTATTTCCTTCCTCTCCATACCCTGGCATCCATCAGGGGTTCTTCTGAGCATCCTTTCAGATGCAAAATTCAATCCCTGTGCTCACTGCCATCATTCCAGTCAAACCCCCATTCTTCTTCTCATGCTTTTAGTGCTGGGATCAGATCAAGTGCTCCACCACTGAGCAACATCCCCAGCCCCAGCCAGATAATTTTTATAGTATTGGTTCAGCCATATACTCTGGTCATTGGTTCATTTCTGTGGCTGTGACAAATGCCTTGACAAGGAGCAACGTGGGGTAGAAAAGGATTCACTTGGCTTCAGTGCCAGGTCACAGACCTTCACTGTGGGGAAGTCAGAGCAGGGGCTCGAGGCAATTAGTCACACCCCCAGACAAGAGAAGAGAGAAATGGATGCATGCCTACTCATCAGCTCACTTGCCCCATCCTTCAGTCCAAGACCCAAATCCAGGAATGGTACCACCCACATTGGAATGGGTCTTCCCATGTCAATCAGCACAATTAGGTCTATTCCCAAGGATGTACCCAACCTGACCTAGATAACCCGTCCCTGAGACTGTCTTTCTAGGTGATTCTAGACTGGGTAAGTGAACAATGGAACTTTCCCTTTGCACTTCAATAAAAGCCAAGCCTTGGTCCCCTCAAAGAACTGAATACCGTGTGGTAATAGGTGTGCCCAGAGCAGGTGCTCTTGACCTTGTTTCCCAACCTTTCTAGCCACTTCCAGAGACTGTTCTTTGAAAATAGACAGTTCATGGAAACAAAGTGGATCCACTTTGTAATTTCAACTTCATCTTTTTTATTTTGTTGTTGTTGCTGTTGTTTTGAAATAGGGTCTCTCCATGTAGTCCTGGGCTGGAACTTGTATCTGTTCCTCTTGCATCTGCCTCCCTAGCACTGTGATTACAGTAATACGCCACCATACCTTACTGCAACGTCCCTTGAACTACTTTCCCCCACCCTGCCCCACATCCCAGAATGTCACCCATCACAGAAGCCTGTGTTTCCTTTGCAGCTTGAGCCACAGCCTCCCACAAACTGTGTCTGTTTCCTGTTTCTCTAGCTGGGTCATACGATCTTCATTAATTTGGTCTGTGTCTTTATTTGTCCAATGCTTAAGGTTGTACCCAATGAACAAAAGCTCAGTGGATGGATTTTAACACCACGTTCCCTGGTCTGTCGTCACTAGGTCCCTTGACTTCCCAAAGCTCTTCCAAATCATTGGTTGAGACCCACCTTGCTTTGTGTTTTGAACCGGGGATACTTGTATAGAGGGACAATGTGGTGCAGACCCTATCCTTGAATGTTAGTCCTGGTGTTTCCGAGGTCCGCACAGCCTAACACCTAAAACAACACAAACAACAAGTTCCACTGGACTTTGCATCAACTTGCACTTAATCATTGGAAAGTTACTCAATGCCTGCTTCAGAACATATAGTAGGCACTCAAAGGCCTTAGCAATTACAAGATATCATCAAATGTAGACAAGCCAGCTGGCTTAGGTTTATACAGTCAAAAAAAAAAAAAACAGCAATCTATGTGTCTTAGTCACTGTTCTATTGCTATAAAGAGACACCATGACCAAGGCAACTTAGAAAAGACAGTATTAATTGGGGGATTGCTTATAGTTTCAGAGGTTAGTCCGTGACTGTCAGCAGAGAGCATAGCAAGGAGCGAACAAGCAAGCAGACAGGCAGGTAGAGATGGTACAGGCAGGTAGAGATGGTACAGGCAGGTAGAGATGGTACAGGCAGGTAGAGATGGTACTGGCTCAGGAGCTGATAACGTCTGACCTGAAAGCCCAAGGCAGAAAAACAGGTAAGGCCTGGCAAGGGCCTTTTACAACTCGAAACCCACCCCTAGTGACACATCTCCTCCAACAAGGCCACACCTGCTAATCCTTCCCAAAGAGTTTCAACTGTGAACCACCTATTCAGTATTTGAGCCTCTGGGAGTAATTTTCATTCCAATCACCACACTGTTGCCAATAAAGAAATCGTGACAGTATTGTATGAAGTGGTTAAAATGATTATAAGGATCAATAGACTGCTGCAAGCCATTTGTAGCATAATTGAAAGAAATAAACTAGAATACATTAACATAAACCTGCACACAAATGTTTGTAGACATTTTGTTCACAGTTGTGGCTGGGGCTATGACTCTGTTGGAACTAGCATACACAAAGCCCTGTTTCAATTTGCAACACCTCATAAACCAGGCATGGTGGCAAACTCCAGCCCTTGGTTAATAGAGGCAGGAGATTGAAGTTTGAAGTCATCCTTAACTACATAGTGAGTTCAAGACCAGCCTCATGAAACCCTGTCTCAAAACAACAAAAAGTTTCGCTCATAATTGCCAAAAATGGACAGCAAGGTCTTTCTGCAGGGAAAGGGACTTGCCTCTAGGCCTAACAGCCTGTGTCCTGCTCCCAGGACCTACGTGACAGAAAGCAAAAACTGACTTCTGCAAGTTGGTCTCTGACCTCCACACAGGCAGTAATGGTGCATCCATACCTTCTCCTCACATAAATCAATTAATTAAATTTTCTTAGGGCTACTATTGCTGTGATAAAATTCTGTGACCAAAGCAACTTGGGAGGAAAGGGTTTATTTCTGCTTACAGTTCCTCATCATAGACCATCAGGGCCTGAACTCAAGCAGGGCAGGAACTCAGAAGCAGGGGCCGATACAGAGGCCACGGAGGAACACTGATCACTCGCTTGTCTCTTGTGCCTTGCTCAACCTGCTTTCTTATGGCCAGGATTGTCAGCCCAGTGGTGGCACCATCCACAACGGGCTGGGTCCACTCATATCGTTCGTTAATCAAGAAAATGTACCACAGGCTAGTCTACTAGTCAATCTGGTAGTGGCATTTTCTCTATTGAGGTTTACTCTTCCAAAATGACTCTAGCTTGGGCCAAGTTGACATAAAAATTATACAACATATAAGTGAAGTTTTAAAAAGAAATCAAAATAAACAAAAATACCATAATGGCCAAAAATTTTAGACAAGTCAAAAGGTGAATGAGTAAACTGTGGTATGATGATACTATGGGATATTATCCAGTTATGAACAAGAAATAAGCTCTCTGCTATGAAAAGACACTAAAGAAACTTAAGAACATGCATACTGTTTAGTGGAGGAAGCCATGCTAGAAAAGTCACATAGGACACTCTGGAAAAAGCAAAACCACATAGAGATGGGAAATAATAAATAAATAAATAAATAAATAAATAAATAAATAAATAAATAAATAAGAAGAACAAAAACAAAAACCCCACAGTGACGCTCTGGGGCTGGGTCTTAGCTATTTTTGCCTTGACAAGAGCCATTTGAGAGGGAAAGGGTGTGTTTTAGCTCACAGGTCAAGGTGACGATGTCAAGACACAGGAACTTGAGGTAGCAGTTCATATCACATCCACGATAAGGAAGCAGAGGAAGATGAACTCATCTCTCCCCGGCTTCCTGTCTCCACTTACACGGGCCAGGAGCCCAGGAACGGTCCTGCCCACCTTGTATGAGCTTTCCCTGTCCATTTAAAGAAGTCAAGATAATCTCCCACAGGCATGCCTGGAGGCCCATCTTCGGGGTCATTCTAGATCTCGTCAAGTTGACAGTTAACACTGACCAGCACAGGCTGCACAGGGAGGATGACTCTGCAGTGATGGCTACATGATACTGTGTTTCCCAAAAGCCAATGCCTTTACTGCGAGTAGTGAGTGGAAATGGAGGGATTCTATTGATCTGTTAGAAACTCAGAAGGCCAAACCAGGGGAGCTGGGGGTTCTGGGAAAGAGGCCGGCAGGGGAATCCTACAAGTTTCTCCTAACCGAAAACTGCTCTGAAAAGTGGATTAAAGGCCAATGGCACAATGGAGGGACCCCATTGTTAATGCACTGTACATCTGTGTGGACACGAGTGCAGGGATTGGAGGAAGCATTGAGGGGTCCAACCAGGATGAATGGCTGTCGTCTCCAGTGGGATGACAGGAGCACACTCTGTCCTTATTTTTCAGAACAAGAAGGACTAGGAAAACAGTGCAAGCAGGAGCGAGCTGTGTACTTGGCAGGATGCCTGTTCTGGTCGAGCATCACTGACCCCTCTCTGCGCGCGTGCAATTGCGTGTGCACGCCCTGGCAGGAGCAGATGGTTCCTGTGGCCCACGATGTTCGCGCGCCCCTCTGCGGGAAGCAGCCAGTGGGCCACCACCGCAGTGCTTTCGGTTTGCTGGAATGCCCTCCCCCACCCCGCACTGGAGAAGTGCACTTTGTTCCCGAGTGGGGGAGGGGCATCAGGACCAGGCTCTAGGGCGCCCTGGGACTTGGAGGACGGCCAGTTTTCTGTTCCCAGGGTGCCTTCTGGCGGGGGCGAGGGTTGTCTGCATCCCAGCTGGGCAGCTGGAGGATACTGGACCCGCTTGGACTCCAGGGCCAGCCTTGCCACCCACTAGCTTCATGCTCTGCATCAGGGACCTGAGGAATGCTGACAATGAGCACTACCCGGCCTTGCTGAAGAGTCCTCTGTAAGTTCCTGCCTCCCAATACCCCTTTGAAGTAGGTGCTGCTAATGTAATAAGATAATTATACTATTAGTGGGATAATTCTCCCTGGCTGCCCACACCCCTTGAACATCGTAGATGATCTGGCTCAGCCTTCTCCCAGTAATAAAATGTGTACTATTATTTTCACTTTAAAGATGGGGACAGAGGAGCTAAGGACAAGTTAAGTCCCTTGTGGAATGGCACAGCTCCCAAGTGGCCATCGTGACAGAAACCCAGGCAGTCAGCTGGAGGGTTTCCACCTCTTAAACACTGCCTTCTGCTGCTGGTTTCTGGTGGCCCCACAAATGTTTATTCAGACAAATGCACTTATCCAGACACTGCAGGCCAGGCATGGTGGTGCAAGCCTGTAATCTCAGCACTCAGGATGCTAAGGCAGTCGGAGTATGTGCAGGAGTCTAGCTGCATCACATACTCAGTCTAAAGCCAGCATGAACTATATAAATCAAGAACTTGTCTCAAAAATATGAAATGGGGGGTCATCTTAGCAAGCAAAAAGCTGGCCCTGTACACCTGATGACTTGAGTTCCATCCCAGGAAACCAAGGTGGGAGGAGAGAACCGGCTCCTGAAATTTGTCCTCTGACCTCATCACATGCACTAATACTTTTTTTTTTTTTTGAGAAAGTCTCACTATGTAGCCTAACTGGCCTGGGACTTACTCTGTAGGGCAGTGCGGCCTGAGATCTGCCTGCTTATGCCTCCCAAGTGCTGGCATTAATGGAAAACACAAATGTTTTTATAAAATTAAAAGTAAATAAAGTCAGTGTGGTGGCATAGCACTTGGGAGGTAGGGGCAGCTCAATCTCTGTGAGTTCTAGGCCAGACAGGTCTATAGAGTGAGTCGGGCCAGCTAGAAATACACAGCAACATCCTATCTCAAAAAAAATAAAAAGAAAAAAGAAAAATAAAAAAGAAAGAAAAGAAACCCAAATAAAAGTAAAGAGAAATTGAGGACATTGCTATCCACATAGCACTTTTAAGAGAGGGATTGATACTAATAATTCCTTACTAAGGAATGATGATTATTACCAATTCAGAGTTACCATTCTCAAAATACTTCGTAAATACTGTGTGTGTGTGTGTGTGTGTGTGTATGTGGGGGGGTATCCTTTGGAGACTGAACCAGGGCCTTGCACACTTTAGGCAAGCATGCTTTTCCACCTGGCTACACCCTGCCCTCCAGCTCTGACTGTCTGCCCTCATTCTATTTCCTAGGAACATGGTTTCCTCCAGTGACTGATGGTGCAGGCTAGCATTGAAGGACAGTCCTCTCTCCCTCCACATGCTGCCAGCACCAACTTTGTCTGGTAATCCAAGGAGCTTTCAAGCTGCGAGGGTGTAATGAGTAGCAGATGACATGTCACACCAGCTGTGGAGTCTCTCCCTTGGAGTCCATCCAGCTCCTGGTCTGTGCCTATCCAACTCCTGCTCGCCAACACACACACACACACACACACACACACACACACACACACACACACGTATGTCTGCTGCAGAGGGCAGAGGGCAGCTACCCTACGTTATAATCATAGAGAAGGTTTGCTGCCAAAGGGCACTTGTGCACTGTCACAGTTCCCGTGACCTTACAATCCCTCCATCACAGGCCTGGGAAGCCTCTCCAGCCTCCTTTAGGTCAAAGAGCCACCTTCATCCCATACATGTGAGGCCTGCTGCTGTTTTGATGAAAGTGGTCCTTCCTGCACAGGGAAGAAAAAGGAGAGGCATATACCGTGAAGGAGTTGGTAAATGTTTGATGAGTCCCTATGCTTACTTGGGTCACTTAGATTTTTCCAAAACCCCTTTCTTAAAGCTCCCTCTCTCCCTCTCCCCTCCTTCCCTCTCCCTGTCCCTCTTTTGCTCCCTCTCCTGTGTGTGTGTATGTAGTATGTGTATACTCATGCTCATGGAAGTGAGAAGAGAGTGTCAATTCCTCTTAGCTACACAGAACAGGCCAACGGTGTCACTTGTGGAAAGAGCATCTTCAAGCCTGGGATTCTGTGCCTCTTTGAAGGAGAAAGAAGCTATTGAGTTCAGAAATGGTGGCTCACATCCTGAGTCCCATTAATGTAAACTGTCAAGTATGAAAACTCTGAATCTATCTGGGTTTAAACAGATAAAGAAAGGAGACAAGGAGGAAGAGGAAGACATAGTGTGCTATACAGAGGCATGTATATTATCTTTCCTCTCAAGCCATAGGATGGAACTCAGCCACATGGCCACATATGGAACCGGAAGCTTGCTTGGAAATGCAGCTTTATTCTGGGTGGCTTTATGTCCAGCTAAGAAATCCATGCTTTTAGAAAATTAGAAGCAGGCATAGCAAGACAATTAGTCTCTCCACGAATATAAGTGACATGTTCTTTTTTTTTTTTTTTTTTTTTTTTTTGGTTTTACGAGACAGGGTTTCTCTGTGTTGTTTTGGAGGCTGTCGGTCCAGCCTGGCCTCGAACTCACAGAGATCCGCCTGCCTCTGCCTCCCGAGTGCTGGGATTAAAGGCGTGCACCATCACCGCCCGGCTAAGTGACATGTTCTCATCTGGTTAGTTATAGAAGGAAATAAGTGCATCTAACTGACCCTGAAGGTATGCTCTTTGAGACATGTGATTGGTGAAGAGTAAGACGGGCAGATGGAGTATGCAGCTATTTACTCTTCCTCTTTTATAGAAAAATGTTTGGAGCAGCAATTGAGCGCAGATAAAATATTCCAACCAGGCACATGACACCACTGTGGCCACAGATGTGAACAGGACACAGCGGGCGGAGAGACCTGAGAGCCCATGTGTCTCAGCTTAGCCATCCTTGTCCTTTATCTTTCTGCTTCTTCATTTCTAAACTTCAACTGTGAGGGTGAGTATGGAGCAGGCCACCCGTGACCAAGAGCCATAACAAGCCAGCTGGCAAGAGTCACAGCAAAAAGAATGTCGCAGCTGTGGCTGACCTCACCTTGAACGCCCACCTCCAGACCTCTCAACAGGGAGATCCCATCTTGGTGAGCCAGGAGAACTTGCCACCATTAGTGGTGTGTGTGTGTGTGTGTGTGATGTGTAAAATATTCCTAGAAGAGTACACAGGAAAATGTATCCACAGCAGCTTCCTGAAAGAAGTCATAAATGGTTTGAGGATGAGCATGATAAAAGACTTGGTTTGCATTTATATTCTCCTGTATTTCAATGCTGAATTGTTTACATTTATATATCCAATCATGGAAAAGTATTGAAATAACTTAAAATATTTTTATTTTATTGGGCCTGGAGACATGGCTTAGCAGTTAAGAGCACTTGTTGCTCTTGCAAAGGACCCGGATTCAATTCCCAGCACCTATCTGGTAACTCACAACTCTCTGTAACTCCAGTTCCAGGGGATCCAACACTGTCTTCTGACCTCCATGGACACTAGACATGTAGATGGTACATAGACATATAAGCAGGCACATAAAATATTTTCAGTAATTTTAAAGATTCTTTTTGTTATTTATATGTGTGTATGAGTACGTACATACAGGTGCTGGTGGAGGTCAGATGAGGGCATCAGATCCCCTGAAGATGGAATAACAGGTGGCTATCATTTGCCCACTGTGGGGGCTGGCAAGAGAAGCAAGCACTCTTAACTGATGAGCTGTCTCTGTGGTCCCATAACTTGTACAATGGGAATAATCAAAAGATATTTGTGAGCCAGGCGGTGGGTGGCGCACGCCTTTAATCCCAGCACTTGGGAGGCAGAGGCAGGCAGATCTCTGTGAGTTCGAGGCCGGGCTGGACCGACAGCCTCCAAAACAATACAGAGAAACCCTGTCTCACAAAACAAAACAAAAAGATATTTGTGGTGGTTTGAATGAGATGGCCCCCATAGGTTCATATATTTAAATGCTTGGTGTACAGTTGATGGAACTGTTTGGGAAGGGTTAGGAGGTATGGCCTTGTTGCAGGAGGTGTGTCACTGGGGTTGAACTCGGAGTTTTAAAAAGCCTACTCCATTCCCAGTGAGCTTGCAAATCAGTTGTAAACTCTCAGCTACTGCTCCAGGGTCATGCCTGCCTGCTGCCTGCTCTCATGCTCCCCACCATGATGGTTATGGACTCTAACCCTTTGGAACCATGAGCCCCCAAATAAATGTTTTCTTTTACAAGTTGCTTTGGCCCTAGTGTTTTGTCGGGGCAATACAAAAGTTCAATTCCAAGCAACTATGTGGTGACTCACAACCATCTATGGTGAGAGCTGATGTCCTCTTCTAATATAATAAAGTTGTACATATAATTAGATCACTCATATACATAAAATAAGTTTGAAAGAAAACAAAAAGCAAAACCCCCAGAATTCACTAAGGTTCTGTGATGGCTCGTACTGATTGTCCCCTTGGCAAGGTCTAGAATCGCTGGGAGACAAGCCCCTGGGCATGATGAGAGACCCACCTTAAATGTGCGCAGCACCACTCCATGGGCTGGGGTCTTGCTGGACTGCACAGAAGGGAGAAAGAGAGCTAAGTGCCTGCGTTCACATCCAGCTGCCTGCTAATTGTGGATGCCATGGGACCCGCTGCCTGGGCTCCAGCCGTCATGACTCCCCTACTGTGCCCTTGACATGGGAGCCAAAATAAACCTTTCTCTCTAAAGTTGGTTTTGTCAGGTATGTTTTGTCAGAGCAGGGAAGATAGTGGCGCAAGGCGTAAGTGACCTCCCTTAAGAGGTCATCTTCCTTGATGAATGACATCTGTTTCCTTGAGAAGCAGAAATGTGGCTGCTTCTGTGAGCTTCCCAGGGCTCACGAGGCTAGTACCCCTCCATACACACACAACGGATGGCTGTACTACAATAATCATGGGGCTTACAAATAACTTTGACGCCTGGGAGATTGGTTTGCATTTTTTTCTTCTTACATGATTTCTTTTCAAAATTGCATTTATTTGTTTGCTTATCTATTTATTTATATGATGGGTGTGGTTGTGCACACATTTGTTTAGTGGAAG